CACCTGGGGGGGGAAGGGGGGGAGTAAAAACCAGGATGGTTTTTGGAGGTGATTGAAGTAGTCGTAGTGTTGTCTTTTTTTCTGTAGTAGAATTACTCTTTTACCCAGATTTCCTCTTTGGATTAGGACCTCTTATTTTAAAAAAAACCATATTCATTTGTGAAAAGAGACTATTTGGACTTTGCTCTTGCCTAGTACAATGGTCATTATAATCTGGACGTGATTGGTAAATGCCCTTGAAAGCAGGAGGTGGAATGGAGTAAAGCAGAAAAATGCTGATTCAGATAGCTAATGAAAAGTGGAAAATGGCAGAGTGTCCATAAGGGATTAGCTTTTTAGTTTATGCCTATACTTTGCAAATAATGCTTGTTCACAGATGTTACTACAAATGTTTTCAGTGTTTTCACTTTACTAAATAAATATTGCATTGTAAATTGCATTAGTGTGACATGTATTCAGTTTGCCATGACCAAACCCAATCATTTTAACACAGTGAGAGTTGTCTTTACACGTCTTCCTCCATGTGATCTAATGTGAAAGGGATGGTGCAATACTCACTGATCAGCTAGTTGAGGGCAGTTTAACTTCAGGGCGATAGCTTTATCCAGCTTGTGATATTCCTCTGTTGAATGGTTTCCCTGACAGTTCCTCTTGCTAGGAGGAAGAAGCTTGCTCTAAGATTTATGTCCTCTTTTCATGTGGGCAAGGCGATAGTGCCTCAGTCTCTAATTGCCCGCTAGTTCGCGGGCAGAAGAGGATGCGTGGCTGTTAGAAACATACACTGACTGAGCTGGTGTTCAAAGACTCCTCCAAGAAGAAGATAACAAGCAGGCTGGAGGTATGACACAGCCGGGATCCAGCCTTTGGGACAGTTCTGAGGTATGAATCTCCAGTAAGGATCCCTTAAGGGAAAATCACACTGGTGATTCTTTTAAGCTGCTAGCTGTAATGAGATGTCACACACAAAAGCTGAAGGAACTTCTTTACAAGGTTTATCCAAGGAAATGGACAATTTTTTAATGTTCATGTATCTGTAATTATTGCCAGCTGAAATTCTAGCAGAGCCAGAAGTCTTTGTTCTTGCAAGATCTGGTTCTGCATCTTAGCTGTAATTGCAGGCGCATTTTACCTATGAAGTAGTAAGAAATTTAACAGAAGGTGAGAGGGACCCTGAAGAGATCCACAATAGAGAAGATTCAGGTTCACTAGGCTATTTATACTTGCCTAGAAGTTTGAAATTGGTGCAGTGGAAAAGGTAGCAAAAGCTACCAAAAAATGCATGAGTGGTGTGGTCAGGTCAGGCCATCCAGAGCTGCATTGAGGCCTGAATGTGGTTTCTTGCAAGAGTGCTCAGTGCCTGTCAGTCAGCAGTTGCAATTATTAGAAAAATGCAGTATATCTTTCTGTGTCTTTATCTTCCAGAACTCTATTTGTCAGTCTTTCTGGTCAGTTACACTTCACCCCACATGTTTTGGGGTGGAATTCTTTGCTAAGTTAATAAGAATCAGGATGATACAAGATACAGTAGACACAGTCTAATACGTGTGTGTGCGCAGGGGTCCTTAATCAGCTGTCTGGATGAGATGCACATAGCCTGGCTCTGAGGAAATTGGGGGAAAAAAGAATATGTTAGAGGGATCTTTTTCATCCTAAGGTAGACCTTCTAAACTGCTGCTTATCAGTTGCTTTTTAGACCTGCCTGTTTTTCTCTTGGGTACAAATTGACTATAGCTGGGTCTTGGAGAGATTCCACCTTATGTCTTGTAACCCAGAGTGTATAATGCAAACCTTAATGATGCAGTGAATATAGGTGATGTATTCTATGCAAAGGAATTATAGGCTGTTTCAGTGCTTGTAATTTCCTGAACGCCAGTCCACCAGAAGGGTGAGTACCAACGTGCTGTGTAGGCACACCTTTCTTCTACTGAGGATGAAGGACCTGGGGTTAAAGAAGAAAGGCAAACGCCAATGTTACAGGCTACTGTTAGTTCTGTCTCTATGTATTATGCATATTAAGGATTAAGAATATAGTTAGCATAGTTTTTGCTAATGCAACATGCATCAGCGTTTTGTCAACTGAAATACAGTGAAGTTACAAAAATAAATGGAATGCATGAATAAGTGAATATGTCAGTTAAACCTAAATGTGCTCAACTTACATATCCTTTGTATGCTCAAGGCACACAGTTTATTCTTCTGCACACAACTGCAAACACAGAATTTGTAGTTCGTTTTAATGTGCAATGTGATAGCATTATAGTGTCTGCAACTTCTCTGTTCAATTTGTCAGCCTTAGCTTGCCTCGCTCAGACAGCGACTTGTGTAAACCTTTGCACGTATTGCTTCAAGAGATGTGCTGTGCTCATGAATTCAGTCGTATTTCATTACTTTATTGATCAAAATAACTTTACTGTTTGATGTTCCTGTTAACTGTGTAGAGCCAAGGTAGGAAAGAAACTGTGGGCTGGCTTCTTTCTTGCTCATAATTTGAATCACTTTCTGAATTAAACATATGCAAACTTACTCGGGGAGGGGAGCACCGTGAAAAGTCTCATTTGCCATATTCGGTTGCTAGTGAAGGAAATAATGGTGCTAATAAATTTGAATTCTTGAACTTCAGGTTGGGTTTGCTGGACTAGCAGTTGTACCAAAGAAAGAGGAATTATACTTATTTTAAAGGGCGTTGGTATAAGTCAGTACAAGCTGGCTGTAAGTAAATCTTGTCTGTAATCCAGCTCAGAGTGAAAAGGAAAATAGGAGAGGCATATCTATTACACTCTCAGCAGCAGCTTCTTGAGCATGTTGGCTTTCATTCTGTGGAAGAAGCCATGCAAGTTGTCCATGACCATAATTTTAACTCATGTTTTTCAGAAGCCAGAGTTTTTTGTACAGGGAGTTGGTGTTTGTGTCAGCCTAAACTCTGCAATGTGCCATTGGGTCTTTTTGGCATTTTAGCTTTTTCTTTTTGGATGAGAATTTGCTAGTCAAACATACCTCTCAGATAAGCTGCTTGTGGTTCTCGTGGGTGTTCGCATTGTGCATAGTCTCTACCTTTCATGCCATGCCAATTATTGCATTCTTAAAAAAAAAAAAATAATGGGCCAGAAAATGTAAACTTGAGCTTTGTTGACTTCTTATTAGCTTCTGCTTGAAGACCCAGGGAGTGCTGAGCTAGCATCTTCAGAGAAGAATGTCAACAAAAGTGTGAAATGACTATGGGTGTATACCCATAAGACCAAATTTCCAATTTTCTTAGAAAAGAAAGCAGTAGGAAGCATTTTGTCCAAGTATTGAAAAATCTTTGTTTTACAAATATGCAAAAACTACAAAGACATTGAGTCTAAATTACTTACTTGCAGACTCTGCTTTTAGGGGAGGGTATATTCCTTTTGTGGAATTAGCCCTACATTTCAATGTCAGCTGTGAAGCATAACCTTACTCTTGGTGAAAAGAGGTGCTGAGGTGACTTGGATGTAACTGAAAGGCTTCAACGTTATTCCTTGTGATGCCACTGGAAACAGGTTGTCTTGGGAAAAAGAGCAAATTATTCAGTTGCCAGAGTTTCAGTGAACAATAGGGGAATTGGGTTTGCTTCGTACATTACATACGCCGTTCCGTTTTTGGACTTGTGTCTAATATTACGTAAGGCAGAGCTTGGCAGATTTTCAGGAGTGAGGTGCCAGATTGTATTTTTCTTTCACAAATTAGAGGTTAAGAACGCTGGTTGAAAACATTCAAACGCGCTGTCAGGCAGTGTTTGGAAGCGGCTGGCTGTCAGGCAGGCAAGATGCCACCCGGCATCCGGCGGGAGGCTGTTGTGAGGGGCAGGGCTCCCTGTCCCAGCGCTGCCAGAGCCGGGAGTGCTCTCGGGACACCGATGCTCCCGGTGCTCTGGCCCCTGCCAGCCATGCCAGCGTTGTGTGCCTCTGGAAGTCTACCCACCTCTTCCTTTGCTGTGTGTGCCCAGCGTTGGGAACTGCAGGCTCAGTAGGAATCTGTCCCATGCATCTAAACTCGTCTGTTGTAATTGCTGTTGGTGTGAAGTTTGGCATAAATTTCTTGTGCGAGGTTGGCTTAACATGGCTCTGAGACATGTTTTTGTAACACAGCCTTGGGAGACTGGATGATCACTATGAAACCAGAACTAATAAATTGGCCAGTAATGTCCTCTTTTACATTCCATTTTTTCTGAAATAGGGACGAACATGAGCAGATTCCTGATGCAAGTTTCGAAGAAATAATATTTGAAACCCCTGAGCACGTGCAAAAAGATGCTCTTTGTGAAGTGCTGTGGAATATTATGATGTCTATATTGGTTTTGCAGGCTGTATTAATCAAGAAATACTATAGGATAATATAGGATAGTAACCTGTAGGCTTACTTTAGAATCTAACCTTTGACAAAGAGCTCTAGCTGGTTTATATGCTTAATAACTCTTGGGAGTACTAATTACCACGTAACCTGGAGCTATGCCTGAACAGTGAGCAATACTGTACTTTTTTCAAACCTACTGCCAGTGTGCATGGGTTGGCCTCTTACTTTGTGGTGTCATTCATACAAATGCACTGGTGATACGTCTAGTGTAACATCTTTCAAGACTGTGCCTGTCAACACTTGTATCTGAAAGTGTAGCAGGTTCAGAAAGCAACAGTCTGATTACAGGCAGCTGCCTCTGCAACCTGTCAGCATCTGGACCATGTTGTCTTCTATCCATGGCCATATGACAGCTAGATCAATTTTCTCATTTAGAAAATACAAATGGTTTCTACATAGAAAAATGTATGATGAAGATATCTGAATTATTTCTATAAGTCCATATCATATCTCAGTGATTTTGCATAATAAAAAAACTAGCATCATTTTTCTTCCTTAAATTAGAAAAAAAATCATATAAATGTGTGGCTACTTTGAATTTAGTAGCATGTACTAAATAGTAAAAATATTTAACAGTGTAATTGATAATACACATTTAAATGGTATTTCATGTTTTCTTTTCCCAGGAGCTGTGATTGTCTCTACTCCTCAAGATGTGGCTTTATTGGATGCACGCAAAGGAGCTGAAATGTTTAGAAAAGTCCATGTACCTGTAAGCCTCTACATTAAAACTACCAGTAGATTGTTTTTCTGAAATGTAAAAAAATTCCATATACTCCAATAGGTGATCAACCATTCAGGAATCACTTGAATTTCATAAATCCTTGTTCAAAAAACAGGATTAGAATCCATCTTATATCTTTATCAGAAGCTTGCTTTAACAGAAGGGAAAGAATTTTCTCAGGCTGAGGTCATAATAGTACTTGATTTCTTTTAAATAATTTTGTTTAATTACCTGGAATGGATCAGACTGCTAAACAGAGTATTGTACGAAGTAATATGTGCTTTCCAAATACACCGTCTTAAAACAACCTCATTATGTGTCCTATTCAGCACTGTCCGTGTGGGAGCTTAAAGTCTAAAATTTCTTGAAATGTGGAAAAAGTCATGTATTGGTACACTTACAGAAAGAAATTTAAGTTTTTGGAGAGATATTGCATGTACCTAATTGTTACTTTGCCATTTGAAGTGCTCTATGACTGTCACAACAAGTAAAAGGCTGTCTATATCATTTCGTTTTTCGTAAGGTTTATACCTTATATGGTAGCTTGCTTCTTCGGGAAATGCAAAATTTAAAAATATCCAGAATATTCATATGGATTGGGAAAAAATATTAAACAGGGTGACATCTTTGACTCGATATTTTCTATGTGTGCTGCAAGTTGCTAAGTAACTGAATGTTTTACTCTAGAGTATGTTCATGAAGAGATTCATTTTTCATTTGAAATGTGTGGTTGATGAGGAAATAGGAACTGAAATGCTTCCTTATCTTAAACAGTAAAGAAAAAAAGCCATTTACTATATTTTAAAAAAGATGTTTTCTTGCTTACCTGTGTGAAGGTTATTTCCACTCTTTATTAAGAAAGGAAATGTTTTTCATAGCTAGTGCTTTGTTAATTTAAAAAATACAACAGAAACCTTGAAGTAACTGCTTCCCCTTTTTTGTTTTAATTTACAGAATAACTTAACAAAAGAAATGCATTGATAAATTCCTTATTGATAACTGTTCCTTAAGTATCTGCACCAAAATGAAAGAATAGTAGCATTTATCATTTGCTACTAGAAGAAAAACAAATATATATAACACAATTGTCTTGATTTTATGTTTGGGTTTGCTAAAATTAAATCAAAAGGAAAATTCAGCAAAGTATTAACTTGAACACAATTTTTTTGAAGAAAATAATTTTGCATAATGAGAAATTACCCAGATTTCTTTCTAAGTCTGTTTTGTTCAATGTTCTTTGAAGAGAATGACCTCTAAGAAAATCATGCATTCTGGGGTAGGCTTGGCTGTTATTAATTTGACTAGTGATAGATACGGTATTAAATATTATCTATTTTGATTCGTTGGAATTTTCAGATCTTTCCAAATCACATGAACAGTCACGGCGAAGCTGTTGCGCTAGATGCTGAGTTTGAATGCACTTGAACCAGTCATCAGGTCTTACCTTTTTCATGGTGCTGCTTCATTTTATTCTGACCTTGTATCTATATCTCTACAGATGTGTCATCTACTAAAGTGTTAAAGCAGCTCCTGCCTATGTATTATGTTTCTAAGTGTCAACTAAATCTGAGGCTCTAAAGAAAGTTTACTACGTAATTTTTGATGGACAACTTTAAACCTGAGGTTTACATCGAAGAGGTGGAATCTGTGGGGTTGTGCTAAAATTATGTATCCTGATTATATAGTTGACTGGTCTTTAAAAATCTAATCTTTAAAATCTTGAATCTCATCTTTAAAAAAAGTGCTTGCAAAGAGTCTACTTCTCAAAGAAGCAGAGAGTCTATAGGTTGCTGAGCTCTGAGTCTTTGAGCGTGCTTGCTTATATTTAATGAACTGGAGTGTCTCCCTTGTACATATAGGCATTATATTTAATGAACTGCAGTCTCTCCCTTGTACATATAGGCATGCCTACACCACCTTCATTAGTTACCAAAAAGTCAAATGACATATGTAGTATTACCACAGTAAAGTCACATTGTTTGTTTGTCTTTTACTACATTGAAATTAGAGTAGAATGATTGAAGGAACTGATGAAAAGCTGTCAGCGTTAGAACCAGGATTACCACGCAAAAGTCATATTTTCAGTCTTAGGACATAGTCATTAGAAGAGGAGTGCTGTCTTCTTGTGCAGTAGCACACTCCTGGTAAGGAAGGAGTTTGCAAAGCAGTACTGACTCCTATCACAACAAATGTCAAGATTCTTGCCCATTATGTGAGTTTGGCCATCGTTTTCACACACCCCAGAGGCTTTTTCTCAGCAAGTCACCAAAAAAAGAGGTTAATAACTTTGAGTATTTAGGATAAAATTGCCTGTTTTCACCTGCTGAAATTGCGTTCAATTCGGTATGGTTTCTCTTATCAATCATATCCCTGAAAGAAAAAGACTGACTTTTAGTTAAATCTGCAACTTTTCCAACCTTGAATTGGAAGGTTATGTTGTGGATTTCACAGGTTTCAAAAACCTGCTTATGTAACCTCAGTATTTCCTTCTAAGGTACTAAAACCGTTTATTTGGCTATGCACTTACTAGTATTTCTGTAGTGTCCAGAGTACCCACCTGAGATTGTGGCTTCATAATGGGAGCAGAAGTTAGAGACAAAAATTGCTTGTTGTAAGACGAAAAGTAGGAGGACAGAAATATTATTGTGCATGTCTACTTGAAGCACTAAAACATCAAGTGACTGGTGGTTACGTAGGCAGTCAATGTCAGACTGCAGAACTGTAACCCTGATCCCTCAGTCCCCGTTAGACTGGAGCTGGACCTCAGCACCATCTATCCTTAAGTACAGTGAACGGACTTAAGTGAGTTTCTCAGGAATTGTCTCCTTGTGTAATGACGGAGGGCTTCCATTTTCTCACTGTATTTTCTTTAACTTAGGAGGTAGTATATTTGGATTTCGGCATGATTTGTTGTGTAACCAGAAGGTTAATTAAGCATAAGAAATACGTAAACATTCAGAAACAGTGAGTGTGCAGGTAATTCACAGTGAAAGGTTTCTTAATTTCCTGTTATTGCTCTTCACCATTTAAAATAAGATTTGACGAAATGAAATTCAGTTCTGTGCATTATAACTATCCTCTCCTCCGCTACCTGTATTGCAGTGCATCTCATCATACTAGTTTTCATGTCATTATTGAGCCAAGTTTGCCAAGAAATATGCAGGGAAAGGAGCTCACTTAGGACTAGAATAGGATTCACACATATTTACGGGATAGTTTCTGTAGACAGTAACAGCTGCTTTGAAGCTTTTCCAGATTTCTTACTTGGACAAGGAAATGAGAGTTACTACTGATTTCATTAGCAAGACCTATTACTTTGTAGATTTAAAAGCTCTTAATATCATAGTGAACTCTCCTTCTTCTGTAAATTTAGCTGCAGAAATATGCATGTTAAAAATACACTTCAGCACTAAAGTTTATGTTTGCACAGATTCTTTATTAAACTATGTGTTTATAATTGGCAACTATTCAAAAAAATCTCTTCATATTCCAGAAAAGTAATTTATATATTAATAAATATGCACTACTGATTGGCTCACAGATATGAACAACACTGAGAAAATAAAAATGATTGTGTAACGCTGAAGTATCATTTGCTTTTAGTAAGATTTGTTGAAATTAAAACAAAAAAGGACAGTGAATAAGACTTCTACAACTGATACAGCATTGGGGATACAGCTGTAGCTCAGCATTTGCATTAACTGTGGCAGAAGGACTTCTTAGTTATTAGGTCATCAAAGAATTAACAGCTGTAATAGTCCTTAACTGTTCACAAAACAACGGCAGACTACATAACTTTTTCTTTGATTGTGAATTTGCTGAATCATAAATGTTGTGTGACTACTTTGAGGAGAACAGAAAGTTCAAACCCTGAGATACCTGAAGATGAACTAATTCATTTACAGTATAAATGTCAAGTGCTTCTTTTTTCCCAGTGCTGCAGAAAATGCCTTCCCTGTATCCTAGTTAAAATACTATTTTTCTTTTGTCAAATAATACTCCCTCCGTTGTTCTCCAGTTTACCAACACAGTGAAAATTCCATGACTTTAAAATAAGGAGAGCAGGATGAATGCCTGCTCAGAGGTCATTAGTAGAACAGTGTGGCTGTAGAGAACCCTTTTTACCATCCCTGCACCTTGTACACTTGGACACATAATATTTCAGATCTGTCTTAGTTTAAGAACTGGATAAGAAAATTACCTGTAATAATGTGCCAGTAAATAGAAACTTGTTCCTCTTGTTCCTCTGGCAGTCCCCAGGAGAGAGTAGAAAATGAGGAAAGTTTGTGGTGTTAAAATTGAAAGTATGTAATTTTTTAAAAAATATTTTTTAAAATGTTCCTTGCTTTGAACCCTCTGAAAGTTTTACATAAGAAAAAGACTTCTAGAAAATAGAGTAAAACACATTATGGTGGTATAGAAAAAGCAGGTGATCATTTTCTGATAATTTTTAGCTTAGATGTAAGGACATTTTTTATTAGGATATTGCAAATAACATGCTTTTTTATTTTCAGTTTTGGTGCCAAGAGTTGTACGTTTGCTCTTAATTAAATAACAATATTTGTTGGTTGCATTGAACGCTGGTATATCCTTTTAGATATGCTTCGTTAGCATAGTGGATATGTTACTCCTCTAATAACTAGGCCATCTTGTTCAAGCACAAAACTAGAATGCTCAGGGAAATCTAAAAATACAAAATGCTACAAAGTAAATAACAGCTTTTTGTACTTGAAAATACATATTCATATTTTTCAAACTTGTCTATAGTGTGTGTGGCATATCTAGATAAGATATAAATCTTAAAGTGAAATATTGTAAGATGGAACCTCTTAAAGCAGGTCCTCTGTTGGTTAGCAGATGGGTAGAAGCTTTCACCATGGTGTGCTTGAATGCTGTTTTCATCGCTTTTCAGAAATTCTGCTCTGCCTCAATGAACAGTTTTGTTTACTAGGGGAATAAAATGAGATCAGTGCTATCATTAACATTGTTGTACATTGTGAAAGAAGATTTTTGTGCATGTGATTTGGCAAATTTTCATTTGACATATTGTGCAAGGATGATGTTGAACACCTGGCATCAGCAGAAGGGTACCAAATATGTGTGTATTAGATTTTTATGCTGTGGTTTTTGCCACTTAGTTTCACATAATTATTTCTTTTGTTTGATCTTTAAAATGTATTTCTGCTCTTTAGAAGTATAACAAATATGGTTCTGTTTTGAAAACATTTCCCTAC